AAGCTTTTGTTGTTATTACTTTCCTCAAAATCTGCTGAGCTGCTTCATCAAGATGAATCAAGTGGTTCACTAGTGTACCTACTGAAACATTCTTGTTTAGGTAAGAACAACAATCTTACCATTTTTGGTCAGCAATATTAGAATTATATACACTTCTGCAAGCTTTCTTTCAATGTAGTATTCAGATCTGGCTATATTTTCGTATACATTTAGTATGTTTATTCAATGATAAAAAGTTTCCATACAAATTTGTCACTTACCACCCCTCTTATTCAAATACAGGTTTTGTTGTTGTTGTTGTTGTTGTTAACTTTTCCCTAGAATGTTTTACCCTATTCTTTGTTTTAATAAAAAAACGTAGCCCTTGGTAGAAATTTTCCAGAAAAGCATCTACCTGAAAACTCATGTATCTCAAAATTAAAGTAAGTATGGGAAAATTACTTCACTGACTTTGGGAAATACCAAATAAATAGCCTGAGGAATCTCAACATACACGAAATTACACTCTTAGGAAAAGCTTTCTCAAAACTTCTACTTAATAAAAATGGGGAAAAGGTGTAGACACTGTGTGGGATGTCATGGAGATCACATCAGTAATGCTTTAAATGCTTTCCCTGATTCTACCCTTGTCCTTCCCTAACTTTTTCTTCTCACAGGAGCTAGAGTGGTCCTTGTAAAACATAAGTAAATAAAAAACATACTACCGTTCTACTCAACACCTTCGTTATCAATCAGAATGAAAGACCAAGCCTTTACAAATGTCTGTAAGCCTCAAAATATTCACAGTCTAATGTGATAGACACTAGTTAGATGTGTCTTTTGAACATGTGAAATGTAGCTAGTTTGAATTTAGATGTGCTATTAAGATGTGAAATACACAATGGATTTGGAAAACTTAGGACTGATTAAAAGAATGTAACTTTTCTCTGTAATAATTTTATATTATTATTTATATATAAGTTGCAGTAATAATATTTTGGATACACTGAGGTGAGTAAAATATGTTATTTAAATTAGTTTCACCACTTTTTTTTTTTTAATTTTTTTTTTTTCCAACGTTTATTTATTTTTAGGACAGAGAGAGACAGAGCATGAACGGGGGAGGGGCAGAGAGAGAGGGAGACACAGAATCGGAAACAGGCTCCAGGCTCTGAGCCATCAGCCCAGGGCCTGACACGGGGCTCGAACTCCCGGACCGCGAGATCGTGACCTGGCTGAAGTCGGACGCTTAACCGACTGCGCCACCCAGGCGCCCCTAGTTTCACCACTTTTTAAAAAACTGTATCCACAAGAAAAAAGTTAAATTACAGGACTTACATTTATGGCTCACATTCTGATTTTGTTGAATGGCACTAGCCTAAATGACCACCAGGTCACCAGCTCCCTCTCAGTTCCAACTCACATCAGCTTCTTTGCTATTCCTCAATATAACCATGTATATCTCAAGCCTTTGTGTTGGCTGTTCTCTCCTCCTGGAAAGTCTTGCCACAGATATCCTTATGGTTAGTTTCCTCACTTTTTTCTGTTCTGTGCTAAAATTATCAGAAAGAACTTCTCTGACCAATCAATTTAAGATGGCCTCACAGAACACTTGTACCTACCCACTTTTTTAAAAAACCTGTATCACCTAGCATATTACATGTGTTTGTGTGCATGCTTGCATGGTGTGTGTGTGTGTGTGTGTGTGTGTGTGTGTGTGTGTGTAATATTTCCTTAGTAGAATAACCCCCATGAAGTCAGGGACTGTGTTTTGTTTATTCCTGTTCCTCTGGAATAGTACCTGGATTTTGGTAGATACTAAATAAATATGTGTTAAATAAATGAAAGGATAAATATCACTAAAAATAAGTAAAGAGATATCTGAGGCATTTTATCATGAAGGTTTGGAAAATGAGAAGAATTAATATTTCCTGGGTGCCTACAATGAACTAGATACTGGGCTAAGCACTTATATATAATGTCTTAATCCTCACAGAAATGTATTTGCAGATTAGATATCTAAAGTTCAGACAATTTAAATAATTTTACAAGGTCATTTAGCCGGTATGGAACATCATTTCAATACTTTTTATTTCAATGTCTCCAAGTAGCTCCCCTGACTCCCAGAATAAATCAGATGCTCTGGTAAATAATTTCTAAGTACTTCCCCTTCATATAATTTGTCACCACTGTATTCATTTTGTAGTGTGGCACTTAATGTCTGTCTTCTCGCTGAATTATAAACTTCATGAGAGGTGGCAGTGAATATCTTGTTGATATTTTCACCCTAATACTTAATCTCTAGTACATATTTATTGAATACATGAATGAATAAAATTAACTTTATCTTACAATATTATAAGAGTCGATGAGTGGGTTATTTGTGGCCAATGAGAATTAATGATTTTGTAGATCTTCTAAAAGAATGGCACTCATTAGAATGAAACCCTGCTGGATATTTCAGGGGAAAGTAAGCTGGTGTATAGGTGTTCTTCACACTTGACCGTACCTTATGATCACGTCTTAGGGTCCACACCTTATGGATTTCCTCTGGAAATGTACTGTCCAACATGGTAGACATATAGGGCTATTTAAATAAAACTTAATTAGGGGCACATGGGTGGTTCAGGGCATTTGGACATCAGCTCAGTTCACGATGTCACGGTTTGTGGGTTTGAGCCCCATGTGGGCTCTGTTTTGACCGCTCAGAGCCTGGAGGCTTTTTCAGATTCTCTGTCTCCCTCTCTCTCTGCCCCTTCCCCACTCACACTCTATTTCTCTCTCTCTCAAAAGTAAACATTTAAAAAAATTAAACAATAATTAGATTCATTTCCTCAACTATATTAGCCACATTTCAAGTGCTCAACAGTCATACATGGCTAGTGGCTGCCTTAGGACAGAACAGATAAATAAAATTTCCATTATAGGGAGAGTTCTAATGAACTATTCTAGGAAGTTAAAAAATTCTTAGGAGGATGTATTTTTAAATCAGAAAGGGATGGTTCGATGAGTTTTGTATTCCAACTAAAATTAAATTTTGAAAAAGAGCTTAATAATCTGTATTCTCGAGTGTTTCTGGGCAAGACACAGACATGGAAAAGGAGCTTCATTGTCTAGTGGATGAAACATTTAGTCAGACGAGCTCATGCACAGCCAGTGACTGGTGTGGAAAGAACCACTCCTCTGAGGGCTCTGGCCAGGCCTACTGTTCCAGGGAAGCCGCCAGCACCTGGCGGGATTGAGCCCTATGTCTAATGCTATTCAATACCATCCCTTTGCGTTTGATGTACAAAACAGAAGACTGAAATTTGAAGAGGAAAGGGTTTGGAATGCCAAAACGCACCTCAAACTATTAGACTCACAACTTCTGGAGAGTTTTTAAATGTCCCCTTCCTCAAAATGTTACATATCTTCGGGCAATTTCTTCATCATGTAACTTTCAATAATCTTGGCGAATATAATTGAACTTCCTTTGAGATTCTGTCGCTGAATGTCTTTCTTGCTAATTGGACAAATAAGACATTTCCTGTCATGCCTAAGAAAATAAAAAAGTTTATAGGCAAGAATAAAAATTACATTTTCTATTTTATTTTCTGATTAAGTTTACTTATTGAGGGCGGGTAACAAGAATTTTCTTAAATTGAATCTTCTGGGTATTGGCTCTAGAATTTGTTCACATTTCTCCATCATTGGCCTCTCCCAGTGAATAAGTCTTTTACCAAGACTGACAATAGTTCATGGTTCTCACTTCTAGACAAGAGGCCAGTAGGAGAACTGAGGCGGAGACCAGGAACCAGCCCCACACTTCCCAACTCAACAGGTGGGGAACATGGGATTTTTATGTTCTTTGGGGACTGGGTCCCCACTCACCGTTATCTGTCAGTGTCTGCCTCTGAGATTTTCTTAGGAGAGACACCTAGGGACAGCGGTGCTCTGCGTAGACTGGAGAGGAGTGGTGAAGGAGGCAGGCGAAACTGGGAAGTTAGGAAGGTTGGGAGGTGAGGTCCTAGAGCCCGGACCTAGGATGGGACAGATGGTTCCCCCAGCAGTGCGCGGGACACCGAGCGGAGAGCAGAGACACGGAGGAGCAGCAGCAGGGGAGACGCGAAAAGCACCGCAAACGCGAAGAGTGGAGCGCGCACGGACCTGGGCGGGGCAGAGTGGGGAAGGGTCACGCCGGGACGTCACCCGCTGTGGGCCGGGGGAGGCAAGCGGGGCGGGAGCTGCGGGCGCCTGCCGGGGGCTCTGGGACCCGAGCTCCGCCGATGAGGTCAGTGGATCCGACGCGCCGGGAGGAGGGCAGTGGAGCCCCCGGACGCGGGAGTTGCGAGGCCGGCGGAGGGGCGGGACGGGACGGGAAATGGGACGGAGAGCTAGGGCCGTGGGAGGAGGAACGAGGGGGCGTCGGCGCTGGAAGCCGGAGGCGGCCCGACCGGGATCGTTTCCTTCCGGAGAGGAGGCCGGCTCTGGACCTAGGCGGGGACGGGGGGCGTCCAAGGGCGGGTGACGGGGAAATAGCGCGGCTCTCGCTTCTCCCGGGCTGGCAGCGGTGCTGCTCGTGGCTCCTCCTCGGGGCCAGTCCGGAGCCCGGCGGCGGGGGGGAGCGGGAGGCGGAGAGCGAGGGCGGGGGCTCGGGAAGGAGGGAGGAGGGAGGGACCAGGCGCGCCAGTGACAGGGTGGCAGCCTAGGAGCGGACGCGTTGCCGCCGCCGCCGCTCCACCTCCTCCTCCAGCAGCTCCTCTCGCTGCTGCCGCCGCCACTGGCGCCGCCGGGAGAAGTTTCACTCCCGACCCTCGTTCGGAGCCCGGACCTAGAGCCGAGCGGGGAGCGCGGCCGGCAGCGGCAACCCGCAGTGGGCCAGGCGCCCGGAGCGCTCCGACCGTGAGCCGGCGTCGGCGCCTCGGCGGCGGGCAGCGGCCCGGGCTGGGGGCGCTGAGGCGGAGGAGGGGCGGGTGTGAGCCGCGGGACCCGCGCGCAGCGCCGCAGCCACTCAGCTAGCGTCCGCGCCGGGGGCAGTCGCGATGGCCGTGCGCTCCCGCCGCCCGTGGATGAGCGTGGCACTGGGGCTGGTTCTGGGCTTCACCGCCGCGTCCTGGCTCATCGCCCCCAGAGTGGCCGAGCTGAGCGAGAGGAAGAGACGCGGCTCCAGCCTCTGCTCCTACTACGGCCGCTCGGCCGCTGGCCCCGGCGCTGGCGCGCAGCGGCCGCTCCCCCAACCTCAGCCCCGGCCGCGGCTGGAGCAGTCGCCGCCCCCCGCGCGCCAGGAGCTTCAGGGGCCGCCGCTGCCACAGGCAGCGCCTGGAGCAACCAGTTTTCGGAGCAGCCCCTGGCAACAGCCACCTCCGCTGCAGCAGCGGCGGCGAGGACGCGAGCCCGAAGGCGCAACGGGGCTGCCAGGCGCCCCCGGGGCCGAAGGGGAACCCGAGGAGGAGGACGGGGGCGCGGCTGGGCAGCGGAGAAGCGGCCGGCCGGGGAGTAGCCACAACGGCAGCGGGGACGGGGGCGCTGCCGCCCCGAGCTCCCGACCCCGGGATTTCCTGTATGTGGGAGTGATGACCGCGCAGAAGTACCTGGGCAGCCGCGCGCTAGCGGCGCAGCGGACCTGGGCGCGCTTCATCCCCGGCCGCGTGGAGTTTTTTTCCAGTGAGCAGCCCCCCAACGCCGGAATGAGCCAGCCCCCGCCACCCCTGCCTGTCATCGCGCTACCGGGGGTGGACGACTCCTACCCTCCCCAGAAAAAGTCCTTCATGATGATCAAGTACATGCACGACCACTACCTGGACAAGTATGAGTGGTTTATGCGCGCCGACGACGATGTCTACATCAAAGGTGACCTCCCAGCGCCGGCTGTCCCGCCTGCCCGCTGGCCCCCACCCTCTTCTCCCGAATCCTTCCTCTGCAACCAGCCCTAATCCCTGCCCAGCCCCTCTCTGCTTTGCTGCCAGCACGTGCTCTGAGCTCCTGCAGCCCCCAGCCCTCGGTCCCCACCCCTCGCATCCGCCCACCATGCCTAGTCCGCTCCTCCTCTTCTGCTGCAGTCTGGACCCTCCTCACACCTGACCGGTTTTATTAGCCTTTCTCACTCTTGCTGTTCTCCTTTCCGCCCAGCGCTTGCCCCTCCTCTTCACTCTGTGTCAACGCTGAGGAAAGGGACTTTAGGGTTAGCCAAAGGCGTTTCCTACTCTGTCCTCTTCCGAAAGCCCGGGTGGTAGTAGTTTCCCAAATCTATCTAGAGGGGCGTGTCCTCAGGAAAGGAAGGGAAGACCGAGGAAGCGGGCGAGAGCCGGTCTGGATACGGGTGTTCTAGCTTTATTCCACAACCCTTTTGTTTTGATTGGATCTAGCGCGGTTTCAGAAATGGTGAGATTAAGGAATTATTTTCGCTATTCGGGACTGTTCCCTCTGCGTTTCCTTCCCTCTCTTACGACCCCGTCAAGCCCCGGGAGTCCTTGAGCACCCACATCCACATCGCTCCAGCGCGCACCTCCTTCCAGCCACAGCAGTGCTGCACAGAGTCGGGCCCTAACCCCCACCCCGCCCCCCGCCCACCTCAATAAAACCCCGGGCGGAGGAGAGCATTTTCAGGAATTGGTGGTGCGCAGAAGGTGAGAGCGCGGGTGACTTATCCAGACCCCAGGAGCTCCAAGCTGTATTAGCATGTACTAATGTGGATCCTTTCCAGTCCATCTTGGTGGCGGCGGCGATAAGCAGAGGCTTGGAGTCCTTCCCCAAAACCACGCGCAGCCACAGCAGGAGAAAACTTTGTCAGTTTTAAAAGAGGCGCGGTCTTTCACCCTCATCGTGGGTGGCTCTGGCCAGAGGTTTCTAAACTCAGCAGAGAGAAGTTCTTAAGAGCGGGAGTAAATCTTCCCAGTACCGCCCGCTGTGGAGATGGACGCAAGGGAAGTCTCAGGGTTGTGTTGAAGTAGGGTCTCCCAGTGCTTCCTCCATTTCCCAGCTTCTTGGTCAAAGGGGGGCAGCCCTTCCTTACTGTTAAGAAAGCCTCGTGGCTTTCTCCTTATCCAGGTAGTCTTTCACAGGATTCAAGGAAAAACAAACAAATTCCGTTTTGGCTCAGGGAGTGAATGTGGAGTAATAACTAGAGATTTCTTGGGGTTAGGTTGGGAAGAGCGAAGTCATTCCATTGGTGATTCGATACAAAAATAAATGGTTGCCTTTCTAATGAATACGGTATCTTACAGACAGATTTCAGATGTATAGCTAAATATAGCTATAAGTGATAGATCCCTTCTAGTCCCCTTGTCTTCTGCGTATGGTTGAAGTCACAAAGGTTTCCTGGCAGAAGTTTGCCACACTTGACAGAGAATTTCTAAAATGCACGAACAGCATCTACTTCTGTCATTTCTCTTAATGGTTTGAAAGACTGTCCTTCAGAACACCGAAGTGCCATATTCATTCCATCTCTATTAAGAATGAAATGCATTTTGAATTAAGAACCCAATAATAGCTAAAACTCACTGAAATCCAAGGGGGAGGGGGGGAGGTGTGGCGTGGCTTCAAGATAAATGACTGCAGATGAGTTCTCATCAAAAAACGATAGTAAAGATGCTGACTGGGAATATAAAGAAGGTGGCTACTTCATTGTGTCGCTTTGTAAAATACCAAATGTGTTTTAGCTACACAATTTGACGTTTAAGTGGTTTTTCTTGATGAACTTACATACTGTAAGGAAACCAATTATATTATTATTTTAACAAATGTTTATTTTTTCCAAAAAGGTACTTTTCAAAGTTCCCAAGTTAAATTCCAACACAACTTTAATATTCTTTCTCTCTCTCAATTTTTGTTTGTATGTGACTCAAGTTTAGTTCAGGACAAAACACGACCAATTTATCAGGAAAAAATACTAATCGGATATCAACAATCTGCCAATCAGTGCTGAATATAAATGTTGTTATTTTCTGAAAATTTTATCATTAACTCAGATATGCTAAGAAATTTATCATTAATCTCCTTATCATAATCTCACCTTTTACAAAAAAAAGTCTGGTGATTATTATACTTAAGGTTTTCCAGTGACCTTGAGTAGAAGGTTAAGAACATTTTATTATGACTTAATTAGTAACGGAAATTTCATAGTTTTAAAGTAATAGAATATTCAGAGAGGTCTTTCTTCCTTTCAGCTGTATTATGACTTTTGGGGAGTTTGTGCACAATGTTGAAAGGTCTTTCCCTTACTTTGTATGTTCTAAATGATTACGAAATTAGGAAAAGGAGAGATTGTTGCCTTTCTCTTTGTAGGTGATAAGTTAGAAGAGTTTCTTCGATCACTCAATAGCAGCAAGCCTCTCTACCTGGGCCAGACTGGCCTGGGGAACATTGAAGAACTTGGAAAATTGGGGCTGGAGCCTGGAGAGAACTTCTGTATGGGAGGACCTGGCATGATCTTCAGTCGAGAGGTTCTCAGGAGGATGGTGCCACATATTGGTGAATGCCTCAGAGAAATGTACACGACTCATGAGGACGTGGAAGTAGGACGATGTGTTCGACGCTTTGGTGGAACTCAGTGCGTCTGGTCTTATGAGGTAAGACAGGCTGTGATGAAAATGTTCACATGTTATAGATTCTTGCCAGTTTATTGCCTGGGGCAATGACTATGTTTATTCTCTTGCTTGAAAATGACAGCATCAGCCGTGTATGGACACAAGGGTGATTGTGGGGAATAACTTTCTTCACAGAGCCGTGGCCTGTGGGAGGTGTTTTTTATTAACATGGCCCTTAACTTTAAGCAGGAATCTGTATATATGGTCACATCTCTGGAAGATGCTCTTTCCCCTCTATTTGCTTTATTGGTGTTGATATACGTGCTTATCCATTTCCTGTCTCTAACAAGGGACTAATTTTATTCTCTTGGGTTGTAGCTTTTAGCATTTGGTACTTGGTTGGTTGTTGCTGTTGTTGTTTTGGTTAGGTGTATAATTGCATCTCTTTGTTTCCGAACAGTTTAAGTTTTCTTGGGAGATTTTCAGGTGGAAATTTAACATGCATGTTTTTAAATCATAGGAAAAGTTAACTCATAGGGTATCATTTATGATAGATTTATTCACAAAATAAAGGGGGCTTGTTACCTGGGAAAATAGAAGAAGTTATGAAGATGTTAAGTAACTGTTTAGTATTATGACTGGTTCCCTACAATTGGTCTCTGTCTGCCGTTCTATTTCCTGAACAGCAGCTGTTGTTTATATAATCTGAGTTAGGAACTGTTCTTTTATTGTGATAATTAGTTTTATGAAATACTCTGGGATTTTTTTTTCCTTCAGAAATTTGTTTTGAAGAGAAATACAATTTTGTTTGAAATAGTTTTCCTAAAGGTTAGTGTTAGTAAAAATTTGATTTAACATTTGGTGTATTGCAGTTTTGAGTAGTTTGGTTTTCAGGTCATTGGAGTTTGATATACTCAGCTGCACACATATGTAAATTATAACTTAACTCATTTTTTTATCTTTTCAAATTTTTCTTGTCTCCCGGTATAGAAGAAACATGCAAATAGGTTCCTTGAGAAGTCATGATACCTCAAGATTACACAGTTACTTTGTAATTACTTTAGTAATTACTGTGTAATTATTTTAGTTAATTTTGCTTTATTTTTAATACTTTGTGGTATTTACACTTTTAGGTAATATTTCTTCTATCTATTAAAGAAACTAAAAATTATCAATAAATAGTTATTTGGAATATGTACTATGCAAATTTAAAAATGTTATTACCTCATTTCTTTTGATACTAAAATTGTATCATTGTATAACTATGACTACCCTGTAGAATAAAAATGTTTGCAATGCAAGAACATTATAGTTAAAAATAGGTATTTTAGAATAAACTCACTGAAAAATATTTGTTTCTCCATTTGCTATAAAACTAACTGAAAGGCATAAAACAAATACCCAGTATAGAAAACATATTAGGTTGATTTTGTTTATATGAAGATACAACTTTGGAGACATTCACTCTGTATGCATGAGTAAACAAAATTATTGATATTTAAAAATAGAGATGGAAATTTATAATGTTTTATTTGGTACTTTATTGCCTTAACATCACATAAGAGGTCTTAACGAACCTTTTGTTTAAATGTCCTTCCCTTCGGGGCGCCTGGGTGGCGCAGTCGGTTAAGCGTCCGACTTCAGCCAGGTCACGATCTCACGGTTCGTGGGTTCGAGCCCCGCGTCGGGCTCTGGGCTGATGGCTCGGAGCCTGGATCCTGTTTCCGATTCTGTGTCTCCCTCTCTCTCTGCCCCTTCCCCGTTCATGCTCTGTGTCTCTCTCTCTGTCCCAAAAATAAATAAACGTTGAAAAAAAAATTAAAAAAAAAAAATAAATAAATGTCCTTCCCTTCAAGTTTTCGTTGATCCTGCCGTCTTCATCTAGCTGTGAACCCATTTCATCTAGCTGTGTACCCATTTATGTTCCAGGAGAGTAAAGTAAACTCAGGTGACCTACATGCTCAAGAATCGACTTAATATTTTATTTTTAATATAGGCATTTTATAGTGGAACTTTAGGTCATATCATAAGCTGACATAAAAGAACAGATACACCAAGAAATTGCAAATCTTACAAGATGTAATGTCATGATCACAGTATTTTCATTAACTTTTCAAAATACATTTAAATTTACACTCATACTAGGTTATCAACTGAGTTCACAATCTATATGAAGAAATCATTTCTATATTTTTTTCCTCGCAAAAGATAATATTATTCTCTAAAGTTGTGCTCTTTTGCCAAAGCATAAGAGACTGTTGAGAACTGAGAACAAACTGAGGGTTGATGGGGGGTGGGAGGGAGGAGAGGGTGGGTGATGGGTACTGAGGAGGGCACCTTTTGGGATGAGCACTGGGTGTTGTATGGAAACCAATTTGACAATAAATTTCATATATAAATAAAAAAAAAATAAAAAAAAAATAAAGTTGTGCTCTTTTAGAAGATTGACTTTATCTTTTGCTTAACAATTACATAGAATTTACTTTGTTTTGGAATATCAGTTTTTAAAGAGCTATTTAAACATAATTTTGAGGGGGCATTGCTTTGGTAGTACAAAGTCTCAGGTCTTATTTAAAGGAATGATGGAACATTTCATGGCCAAGGTATTTATTAATTAGCATCTGTTAAGAAACTTAGTAATGGTAAATATACAATTAAGTAATAATTTAAGCATGTTAATATTAGGATGCGTTCTGTGTTATATGGGACTCCTGAGTAGATCAGTTGGATCACAGACAAACTAGGGTTTTCCAGTTTAGATTTTAGGTTAGTTCATCTGATGTCCATTCTTTGCTACTGTTCACATTATTTGAAAAGAATCCTCTGTTTTACTGTACACTGGTGTCCTCAGTAAAGATGAAATTGTACATCTGGTCGTATAACAAGCTATGAAAGGATCTTTAACTTTGTTTTCTTTTTTCTTTTAAAAGATCCATCTGTGATAGAATTCTCTTAAAATCTTGAATTTTCTTTATCTATACCTTTCATGGATTTCAGAATTTTGTTTGGCTTTCCCTCCTAATAAAAGTTCTTACAGAGTTAAAAGCACTGCCTATGAATTTTGAGTTTAAATATATGAAGCATTCATGGTGCAATATTATCTTTTAAAAATGATAAACAGGCTTGAAGATCTTCCAGGAAGAGGACTGGGCAAACATAATTAAACTATATAGACTTTGTAGCTTTTCTTTGTGATAAATTACAATTTTTATAAAACCTAGAAATCTTTTAGTATTATTTACTGTTCAATGAAAGTATACTTTCTCTGTTTTATATACAATTTAGCATTAATTGAGAGAGAGAGAGGATACACTTGAACTTGGGTTTGAGTTCTCTTGTCTTTGGTAGGTTAGTTCTTTGATCCTTGTTTAGTTCAACTGAAATTGGACATTATTACAGTGTCTGTTACATAATTTTTGGAGAAGATTAAGTGAATTGGCGAGAAAACCTATGTAAAGCCCTTCATATAGTGTTTAGTACACAGTAAATTTTCAATAAATGTTAATTATTATAGCCATAATTGTTGCTGAATAGATCATGTATTATACATAACATGGATTCATCGATATTTTATTATATTTTTTAATGATTAGTAATGAATGATTTGTCTATATCAAAAGAGTCAAACTAAAAATAAACTGAATTCTTTTCAGTTAAAGAATCCAACTTTAAGGTTTTTTGGCAAAGAGCAAGAAAGTTTCAAAAATACTGAAAGTATGGGGATTCCATGTCAGTAGAACTTACTATAAAACATGGAAGTCTGCATGTTTAAATGATGCATTACACATATTTGCTTCAGTCTTTGAGCACCATAATAATAGTTTATCTTAAAAAAACAGTGTGGAAAATATTATCTAACAAGTGATGATCTAATATACATATTTAAGGAATCTCAAATAGATCAGACTGAATATTAAAAAAAATATATATTGTATAGGTTTCTAGATGGGTTGCCGGAACAATAGCCCCTTTTTCTGAGTTTCTCTGGAATTTTCATTAGAAACAGAGGTTAATAGTGTCTCATTCTGCAATCAACTATATGAACACCAGGAACTTGGCTTTCAAGTAGCTAGAACCTGTTCCTGTGGTGCTCACTTTTGCAGGAAATGATGGATAGCTTTACTTCCTCCCTGGGGTAAGGTCCTCATGGTCTGGGAAAAATGTCTTCCATGGGGGCTTCTTGCTTTGTTTCTCTCTCTGTCATCTCCTCCCCTTTTACTTTTTTCTTTCTGTATTTAATGATATATAAAATAGATTACAAATGCATTTGGTATGCACCACTTTTCATCAAGTTCTTAGTAAATTAACGTGCTTATGATAGACCAGCTTCTATGTCACAAGAGATCACAGAATATGCGCCCAGATCACTCCTAGGGTGCAGGAATGACTTGACCTCTTCTGACTAAAGAGGCCTTTAGTTGCTGATCAGCCTCAGATGGACTGGTTCTCTGTGTGCCTAAGACCATTGGAGAGTCAGAATTATGATTCTCCCTTTGGTACTTGGAGGTAGAAACATCTAGAGTCCTAGGACATATGGCATATGTTAATCAACACACTTCATGGGTTGCTGTTGTACTCATTTATACCTCAAATTGTATAAGTAAAGATTACTAACTAAAGCATGTTCGTGAAAAATCATTCTATTTTATTCATTCTGTGAGTGTGAGAATTTATTGGCATCTACTGTTGGCTAAGTTCGCTTTTGTGGTAGAGCTCTATCTTGGCTACTGTTTTTCTAGTTCTCTGAGCTGCAATCTGGCAGCTTGGGAGGCTGCATATGGCTCTTAAACATTGTTTGGCTCATGGAGTGTTTTAAGGTTTTCTGTTTTTGTTTTCAGATGCTTTTAGGAGAGGCCGGCAGTGTTCAGTCCCCTTCATATCCTAATTCTAACAACAGGCTTCCCTTGCATGTTTATTTTAACTGCCTGGCCCAGGTATGCTTATGAGTCCTGATATTTTGAGGCAGATAACGCACATGTTGAAATTTTAATTAAAATATTCTCTAGAAGATGAAATGATTTTCTAGTGAGAATGAGATGTGT